TGAGGATCCCCTTGGCCGTGGTGAAGCTGCAAAATTTNGGATTTTCAAAAAAGGCAAAATTGGCAAATTTCAACAGGTAGCTACCTGTGGTACCAAAATCCATTTTTGGGTCGAATTTTTTTGGTCTCGGAAATCCATGTAACCCGGTTTTTTGGACTCGATCCTATCTCAACTGGTTTGGCCGTGGTGAAGCTGCAAAATTTGGATTTTCAAAAAAGGCAAAATTGGCAAATTTCAACAGGTAGCTACCTGTGGTACCAAAATCCATTTTTAGGTCGAATTTTTATGGTCTCGGAAATCGATGTAACCCGGTTTTTTGGACTCGGTGCTTCTCTAGCTATCTCCCAATGTGCATAAAAGTGAATTCTGAGCACTTTTTTATTTTGCGGAAAAGTGCCAAAAGATCCGGTTTTTCATGGACAAAACTAAAACGCTCAGTGCTTCCAAAGTAAGGCAGATATGGAATCGCGGTTTGTGGCATTGCAAAGCTAAGATTTCAAACTAGTAACTGTGAAACTTTCAGCATCCTATCTCAACTGGTTTGGCCGTGGTGAAGCTGCAAAATTTGGATTTTCAAAAAAGGCAAAATTGGCAAATTTCAACAGGTAGCTACCTGTGGTACCAAAATCCATTTTTGGGTCGAATTTTTTTGGTCTCGGAAATCCATGTAACCCGGTTTTTTGGACTCGATCCTATCTCAACTGGTTTGGCCGTGGTGAAGCTGCAAAATTTGGATTTTCAAAAAAGGCAAAATTGGCAAATTTCAACAGGTAGGTACCTGTGCTACCAAAATCCAATTTGGGTCGAATTTTTTTGGTCTCGGAAATCGATGTAACCCGGTTTTTTGGACTCGGTGCTTCTCTAGCTCTCTCCCAATGTGCATAAAAGTGAATTCTGAGTACTTTTTTATTTTGCGGAAAAGTGCCAAAAAATCCGGTTTTTCATGGACAAAACTAAAACGCTCAGTGCTTCCAAAGTAAGGCAGATATGGTATCGCGGTTTGTGGCATTGCAAAGCTAAGATTTCAAACTAGTACCTGTCAAAATTTCAGCATCCTATCTCAACT